TGTTCATGAGCCACCTCAAGCAAGTGTGCATGACCCAGAGACCCAGCTCTTTCCTTACCTCCCTCGTCATACTCTTCTCTGTCCTCCCCTCCCCCAGTATGGGCTGAAGAAGAAGGAGGAGAAGGAAGCAGAGGAGAAGGCAGCCCTTGAACAGCCCTGCGAGGGGAGCCTGACCCGGCCCAAGAAGGCCATCCCTGCAGGCTGTGGGGACGAGGAGGAGGAGGAAGAGGAGAGCATCCTGGACACGGTGCTCAAATACCTGCCTGGGCCGCTGCAGGACATGTTCAAGAAGTAACGGGCTCTCCTGCTCCAGCCTCACTCCTCTTGTTACATTTTCTTTTGTTCTTTCTTTTCTTTTTATTCAGTTAAGTCTCAATTCTGAAGGGGAAAACCTCAGTTGGCCTCTGCCCCCCTTCCCTGACCAGGAGTCCTTCCCCCTTAGCACTCTCTGACACCCCATTTCATCCCAGGGTATCAAGTCCCACCCTACTCCCAAGTATAGCAGTTTGAAAAGGGAAGACAGCTTTTCTATAGCGGGGGCACTGAACCCAAAGGCACTGGATGGCTCCCTCTGGAAGCCTAAGGTCTACGTTAGTGTGGTAACCCCCATACATTCCTTCATGCTCCCCACTGCCAGGAGGACCACTGTCCCCAGCCAGCCAAAGTAATGACACATTCCAGCCCCACCCAGCATGCTGACCTTTGGCCTCTGATCCTCTAGTGGGTCTTCAGGTCAGGGCAGGGGCACTGAGGGGCCTGGCTCTGAGGGAGTCAGGGTAAGCCTGTCTCATGAGGACTTAGCCTGAGAGGCCCCAGGTCTAGACAGGCTAGGACCTGGGCAGGAGGCTAGGACTCTCCTTTTTCCCTGTCCCTGGTGACACCCAGCCCAGGAGCACGCCCTTCCCAAACCTCACCCAGAGAGGCATGGCCCCTGCCAGCTTGGTCCCTCCAAATGGATCCTCTTTGGACTTTAGCACATCTGTGGAGGAGCCCAGGATAGGGCAACCCCTTGTTCCCTCTCACTCCACTTAGGTACTGGGACCCCACTGCCAGGTTGGGCCCAGCTTGCCCAACCAAGGGGCTACCCAGGCCCCAAAAAACACTTGGAGCCATCGGGCAGTGATGGTCTATGCCATGGGATCCCCCCTTTGGTGTGACCACGCTGCCCCCATTCCTAGCCACCCCTCTTCCCCACTCTGTCCTGTCCATGTGCTTCCAGGGCCCCATGGTCCCCAAGAGGACCCTTCCTGGCCAAAGCCCCAAGTTGTTGGGGAGAAGCCAACTCCCATTTGGTAGAAGGCATCTGTCCATTCATCCCACTGGCCAAGAACAAACTCTCCTCTGGGATGTAGGGACTGGCATTTGCCCCCCACTCACCTCCAGATTGCCAAGGCCACTTACTAAGCCAGTTTTGTGAGAATGGTGTGGGGCAGAGGAGAGTAGCAAATGAAGAAGGAAAGTGAGTTTATGTGTGGCATAGTGTGTAGCAGAGATGGCATCAGCAACTGTGTGTCCAGAGATTTTATGCATGTATGTGTGGTTGGAGTGTGGTATATCTTGAGATTGTGTGTGTGTGTTAGTCATCATATCTCCATGTTAGAGATTATATATGTTTAGGCAGGCTTGTTATGTGTGCTTGTTTGAGGTGGTATATTTGAGTTGTGATCATGTCCCATTTGCCAGCCATCTTATATGTGTTTAGAGATTGCATGTGTTAGCTTGTATATGCATGTGTTTTCAAAATGGCATGTGCGTCAGGAGAAATGAGTATATGTTAGATGTCACAGAAGTGTATGTTTGAAAGAATTGCCAGATGTGTTAAGACTGTCATGTTCTCATGTGTGGGTCTGAAAAAGGAAGCTGTGTGCATGGATGTGTGCTTAGAGAGAAAGAACATGGCTAAGATGCTCCCTCCCAGCCTTCAGACCATTGATCACAGGTGGCCACATCTGACAGGAGACCTTGTCCTTTGCCTACAGTCCTCCTACCCTTGGGGGGTTCCTGCCTAAGGTTCTCAGAATTCCACTGGAACAGACCCAGGCAGTACCCCAGGAAGCCATGCTGGGCCCCCACCAGGGCCTACCCCAAAAACAGGGACCAGGGAGGGGGCGACTTGCCTGCCCCTGAAGCCCCTCCCCCATTGGCCTCAGTTTGTATTCTGCGGGTTTTCCATTTTAGTGGATTTATGCTTTTATTTCAGAGAGACATGTGTCTTCTCTGTCCGTTTCCAATAGTTAAAGCCATATCAGTTAGACTGCAATACTTTAAAGATGAGACAAAACAATCCATATGTTTAGGGAACCAGAAAAGTCCCCTGATCCGTCCCTTCTTTGAGGAGCAGGGCCCTGGCAGCTCCAGCTCCCTGGGCTTATCCTCCTCGTCCACCCCCACACCTTCCCTTTGTGCCCCTGTGTCGGGCCCCCCAGGGGGCCATGTCTGTGTCTGTGCCTACATCTGTGATGGGGAGCCACCTCACACCCCTGATGTCTGTTTGTCTGTGTCTTTTTACCTGGGCAGGATGGTCATTCTCAAGAGCACTGGGGTCCTGGGCCAGAGACAACAGAGCCCAGCTGAGAGGTCCCAGGCTTCCCCAGACCCTATGTGGGAGTCTCACTTGGACACAGGGATAGATTCTGATGTTGAAACAGGTCTCCCCCTTGACAGAAACCCTCAGACCTTGAAGGCAGTGCCAGGGCATGGAGTGCCAAATAGGTGGCAGAGACCAAGGCTCAGAAAGCTGTAGATAAGCAAGGGAACCTAGCCATTCAAGATATCCCAGGCCCTTAGACAGTGTCCCTGTGGTCTTCACAGCCCCTCTGGACCCCAGAGTGGGCTTTGGGCTTTTCAGCCCCACCCCAGTGCCCTCTAGGCTGGATTGGCTTAGTCTGAGTGCACCTCCCAGACTCCTCCATCCTACTCCCAGGCAGCAGGACTTGAGGTCTTCCTGGAGGTGGGGCAAGGGCAAGAATCTCTGCCTGGTGCATCCCTGTCTCATCCACTGGCAAGTGATCACTGTCAGAACCAGGGGGACACAATTAATACAAACCTGACTGTAGGGAGAAGCTGAACGCTAGCCCAGAGAGGATGTCTGTGTACAACACACACGTAGGGGGAGAAAATACACAGAAGATGCTCTAGCAGGGACAGGGGTGTTCAATGGTGGACCTGGGGTGGGAAGTATGTGTTGCTCATTGGATGGGAGGTGGAATGAGCATGTCACACAGAAATAGGACGGTGTGCATGTAACACACTGAGAGAGGGAGAAGCTCTAGAATTCAGCACACTCAGATGACACACAAGGGAGGAGTAATCTTTGGTAGGTGGCTGAAAACAGAATGATCACATTCTGAAAACAGAACGTGGGTCTGTGTGCCCTCGGGCAGGGCCACCCAGGTTCCTCCTATCCCTGGGATTCTCCACCAGCGAGAAGGAAGGAAGGGGCCTTCTCTGAGTCTCCTTGTGCTGGGCACTGGCAATGGGTCAGGATTTCCAAATATGGATGGTCCTCTACTCTAGGGCCCAAAAGGCCCAGAAGGAGTGTCCTTGACAGCAAACCTTTGTAGTGTGTTTGTTCAAATGGAAGCAGGATGTCAAGAGGACATCCCAGGTATATGTGAGAGAGACTGAGAAAGTGAGAGGATGGGAAAGAGAGCTAGAATTATTGCAGCCCAGGGCTCCTTCCAAGTGGGGCAGCTGGTGGGCAAAGCAGCCATCCCAAAGGCTTCTGGCTAGAGCAAAACAGGGGACTTCCCAGGCCCAAGGGGAGGGTTACCAACCTCCACAGTCCAACTGTTCTGCCCTTCTAGAGTCTCACAGGCTTCTGGCTGCACAGGGAGGCTGATGTCAGACCTGCTCCAATGAGGTGGACATGCCTCTCACCCAATTTCCCCTGCTCCAGTCTCCACTCCTGCTGCCCCACCCTCTTCACTGGGGAGAGAATGGGAGGTGCTCATGCTGGTCCTGGGGCACAGCTAGGGGTCCTACTGAGACCCGGGAGAGATGGACCATCCTGCTCACACGGGGGGAACCCTCTTCCCACATCTGTGCTGTGTCTTTGTTGCTCTGCTTCTTTTAAATGTGTCAGTGCCTGGGGGGAGGGGAGGAGCACCCTCTCATGCCCCCCTGAACCTGACCTAAAGCCATGGCTGTTGCTCCCCCCTTTGTATGATGCAAATGCTAAGATGTACAAAACCAACCATGATAACAAAGAAAAAGACCTTGTACAGCAGCTCTCTGTGATCGGTTCTCTTCTGTCAGCATCACCAGGGTTAAACAGGGGCACCACCCTACCAGTGAAGGAAGACGACCTACAAAGCTCAAGAGGCCCCAGAAAACAATCCATTTTGCCTAGCTTCTGGCCAGGAAACAACTCCAAAGATCACCTGAGCCCAGGGTTGGACCTGGGTCCCAGGATTCCAGGGTTGCTCCATCTCCCTATGTCAACTCTAAAACCCCAAAGGCTGAGAGGGATAAGTTGTCACCTCCTCACACACATCCCATTTCTGACCACCCCAAGCTCCTTAGGGTGTGGTATCCTTAGAATGCCATGAAGTCACATGAAAGGGCAAAGATCTAGCATACTGAAAACACTGATGGAGCATCACCTCTCTACCAGACTATGTAGAGGAGGCTGGGACACTCAGAGGACACTACTCGGCACTCCTCCTAGACTCAGATGCTTCCCTGGCCTTGCTGAAGAGTTCTAACCAGATCAGAGTCCCCTTCCACTCTTGCACCCCCAACATCCTGTCTGCAGTTAGGCCTCACTTCTTCCCACTTCCTGCCATTATGCACTGGTCCCCCACATACTGGTCGACCCCTTTCTTTCGTCCATCCTCCATCAGCCTAGCTCCACCTAGAAGGCTTATCTAAAATGCAGGGGTTTATCATGTCACTCACTCCCTGCCCAACACCTTCCAATGGCCAATCAGATAGCATCCAAATGGTCAAAATGGCCTTGTGTGACATGACACCAACCTGCTTGGTCAGACCCACACCCACCTTGTTGCTCCAAGTGCCCCCACTCCCCACACATACCATGCTGTATCATATGTACAGATCTCGTCCCCTCTGCCTGGGAATGGGTGGTACCCTTCCTCCTCCTTGGCACACTCCCCAAACTTCTCAAGATTCAGCTCAATGTCATCTCCTCTGTGAGGCCCACCCTGATATGGTCATTTGACCAGACCATAGTCTGTTGCTGCACCCACCTAACATAGAGCATCTCAGCTGATTGCTCCAACAGCCCTGGGTGTGCGGAGAGGCTCTGACACCCAGCAGAGTGAGCTTGAGCAAGACACTTAACGCCTATGGGTGTTTGCTTGTTAAGTGAAGTGAAATGATAATTGCCGTGACCTCTCCAGTTTATTGTGAGGAATAAATGGGGTCCTATATGCACACATTTATCACTGAGTGTTAAGCATTCAATGAATGGCACTTTTCAAATTCTATTGTAAGTTAAGTCACTGCACATGTCTCCCTAACTTGAGCCCTCTATAAGGCAACATATATTTATTATCTCAGTTTCTGTGGATCAGAAATCTGGGCGCAAGCTCAGTTGGATCCCTTACTTCAAGGTCTCTCCTAAAGCTTCAGTCAAGTGTAGGCCAGGGCTGGGGTCTCATTACAAGGCTCACTTCCAAGCTCATGTGGTTAGTGGCAAATTCAGTTCTACTGAATTGGAGGAACTGGAGGCTTCAGTTCCTTGCAGGTTGTCCAACTGGTGACAGTCTTCTGTTCCTTGCCCTGTGGGTTCCTCCACTGGGGCAGCTCAAAACATGGCAACTTGCTTCATTACAGCATGCAAGCCAAGAAGGCAATAGAGAGAACCTGCTACCAAGACGGAAGCCACAATGTTATGTAACCTAACCACAAAAGTGATGTCCCACCACCTTTATTACAGATCCTGCCCACATTTATGAGGAAGGGATTACAAAAGTCTGTGAATACCAGGATGAGGGATCATTGAGAGTCCTAGAAGCTGCTCTCCACAGAGACTGAGCCAAAAGTCTCTCTTGCCTACAAAGTGCTGGAGTTGAGCAGAGCCTCAGAGGAATTAGAGCTCCAAACCTCTTCAGCCATAGGGTTCCAGGTGGTAGAGGAAGTGTCTCAGTACAGGGGAAGTAGCCAATGGTGAGTTCCCCCAAGGACTGAAGGCCTTCCAAGACTGAAGACTGGAGTGAAAGAAAACATTAGGGCTGTTGGAGTTCCATGGGAGTCCATCTGTATTGCCTGCCCAGAACTCCAAATACTGTCCTCCTGAAATTCAGTTCTCTTCTCAGTAAAAACCCAAACCAAGACACCTTGCTGCTTTTCATCAGCTCCCACTTCCTCTCCATTCCACTGGGTGGGTCCCAAAGCACTCTGTCCCCTACTGGAATGAGGTGGAGGCAGATTAGAGGGAGTCATAGGAAGACAAATTGGCAAGGTTAGATGTGGGCAGCATGGAGGAAAGAGATGTCTGGACCAATGCCTACCTCTCCACCTTGGATGGTACCACTCTCCAAGACCTGGAACTTGGATGGGGGACAGCTTGAGAGGAATGTCATGAGTTTGGGGCTCCTGGGTGTGAGGTATCTTGGGAGAATGCAGTGGGCCATCTGTGCTACATGCTGGCTCAACCAGGAGAAGCCCAAACAGCACTCTGCATGGGCTAGCCCCCAAATGGATCAAGATCGTGACCACTGGCTCACTACAAGATCAAAATACCTGGAAATCAAGAAACCTGGAGTGGGAAGGGGATTTAAAGTCAAATCCATCTTCCCATACAATCCAGGAATTCCTTCTGTACCGTCTTTAGTAAGGGTGCTCTCTTACTTGCGTGCCCCATAGTGTCAGGGAGCTCATTCTAGCCAAACAGCTCTCATTACTCAACTGAAAGCTGCCAGGAGGCAGAGGGTTACTGAAGCCTCCTCCAGCATCTCTCTAATTGACTGCAAAACTCTGCTTCTAGACCACTTACTTAGCACTTGTAATTAATTGGGGTTTCTTGCCTGATCTGAGAAATGATTCGATACCTCCTGAGGACAATGTTTTCTCAGCCGGGATCCTCTAGCTGGAGACATCTCTACACACCCAGCCTCTCCACAGGCACTGGGTATGCAGACACCGCCCCTTCCTCTCTGTATGAGCTCAGACAGCTCCAAACATAGAACCAGCAAATGGTACAGGCTCAGTAGGTGGCATCAGAGCTGGTGTCACTATCTCCTTGGACTCCAGACCTACATCATCTACCCTACCTGGAGAAGGCCCAGGGGTCAGCAGCTCTTGGCCACATCAACTCCCTGCTCCTCTCATTGTGAGAGGCACTTGACATAGCCATGTCTGTATGAAGGTTAAGGCAGTCCATATTAATATACATAAGGAGAGGGAGGGTGAGGGAGCTCCATTCACTAACCACCTGCTGTATGCCATACACAAAAGTTAATTGCTTTAAAAGCACCACCTCTCATCTTGACAGCAATCTACAAGGTCAGTATTATTCCTGTTTTACATGTGAGGAAGCTGAGGCTTGGAAGAAGAAGAATATAAAGGGAATGAGGCTTTCAACTCAGACCTGGTTCTGAATCCTCATTCTTTCCACTTGATCTTGGGCAGGTGACTCAACTGTTCTGGACCTTAGTTTCACTATCTATTAAAAAAATTAGTGTAATAATGTCTAACCCCACCACCATTACTATCAAGATTATTGAAGAAACTAGACCAAATATCTGTAAATCCCTAATCAGTGCCTGGTATGTCATAGTTTTATAAATTAATAACTATTGCTATTATAATGGTATATCTTGTGAAGCAAAATAAGAATAGGAAGAAAAGAAAGGAAGGAGAAGAAACGACATGGATAAAAAGAATTAATTTTAATAAAAGCCCTCCAGCCATCCAAAGAGTAAATTGGGAAGCCTAGATTTGAAACCAAATCTGTCTTGTGTCTTTTCACCATAACACAAGACAAGCTGAGAAGTAAGGGTCAAGAGAGAGTAGGGGACAGAAGGGAATAACTGTCTCCTTCTGGAAGCTCTCTTGAATCTTCAGCTCAAAATAGACTTAGCAATGTGTAGCTGTTATCTGTCACTGCATAACAAATTACCCTAAAACTTAGTGGCTGCAAGCAGTAAATATTTCATTTTCTCTCACTGTTTTTGTGGGTCACAGTTTCTGACATGGATTAAATGTGTAGTTCTAGATTGGGATCCATCATGAAGTCACTAGCAAGATGGTGGCCAGACAGCAGTCTCATCTGCAGGTTCAATTGGGCTGGATATTGCACTTCTGAGGTGGCTCAGTCACATTTCTAGCAGTTAGCGCTGGTTGTTGGCAGGAGACATCCTTCCTGGGGAAGCCTCTTTGTAGAACTTGTTGAATGTCCTCCCAATATGACAACTAGCCTCTGCAGAGTGGGCTGTCCAGGAGATCAAGGTGAAAGCTGCAATGTCACTTGTGGACCTAGTTTTGGAAGCCACAAGTCATCGCTTCTGAAATATTCTGTGGATCACTCAGACCAGCTCTAATTCAGAGTGGAAGATACTGCACGAAGCACGACTCTCCGAAGAGGAGCTCACTGGGCACTAGCTCCTCTTGGAGGCTACCTACTTCCCACAAAACAGTACAGACCTCAAGCCACTTGCAGCTCTTTCTTCAGGACCAAGTCAGTAAACACTCTTTCATTTACCCATCCACTCAGCAAATATTTCCTTATCCCTTTCTGCCTTCAGCAAACTCTCCCCAGTGGTTATCTACAGGGCTAAGCATTGCCTTTCAGACTTGAGCTTGACATGCTCATGGGAGCTAAGAGTCTGGCATGCAAACCAACACACAGCAGGGCACCAAGAGAAAACATTTGGATTTTTACCAGACAGACCTTGTTTCAAGCCTGGCTTGAAACTTTGAAGCCATTTGACCTGGAGCATTTTATTTCATCTCTCTGAAGCTCCATAAAAAGGGGCAAGACTTACAATGCTCAGAAACTGCAACAAATTATTAAAATGCTGGGCACATACAAGTTTTTAACCAATGACAACTAAGACAATTAATACTACTGGTCTAAATAAATGGAAATTGCAACTTCCCATTTGGACAGCAACTCCTTAAGGCTTTCCCTGCACTCCAAGAGAAGTCTGGGCTGTTGTATCCCAAAGCTGGCCTGCAGCTTCTGCCTGCTTCTTCCTCCCAAAGGTTTAGCCAAGGCTTGCCTTGACTCCAACAGCCAGAGGCTCCCTAGCTGCCAGCCCTAATCAGCAGCTCCAGCGGAAACCTCAAATTGATTTGCCATCGTTTAACTGGAAAGCAAGAGCTCTTCTTGACTTGCAGCCAAAATCCTTTCTGTGATAGCAAAGTAATCACCTCTGTGGCGGGTGTCCAGAGAATGTGATAGAGATCTAGGACAAAAGTCTCCATCCTACCACCCAGAACCTGAGCCGCATTACAGCGCCAGCTCTGGTTCGGCTCCTTTATCCTGGATGTGTGTGGGCCACTATGTATGCATGTCCTCCTGCAGAATGTGACCCCCTGCACATCTGAGTGGCTCTCACATTTTGCAGTATAGTGGAATAACCTAGGAGAATCCTCTTAAAAATTATGATTCTTGGCTGCAGACCCCCAGTATTCTGATTCAATCGGTGCAGGGTGCATCATGAGCATTGGTATTTTTAGGAGCTCTCCAGGTGGTTCTAAAGTCCAGCAGAGTTGGGGAACTTCTAGTGGAATGTGCACAGCACTGACTACCCCTAGATCCATGCACCTCTGCCTCACTCACTTAGTCACCCCACCACAACTTATTGGGCACCTACAAGGTGCCAAGCACTGATCTAAGAGCTTTCTATGGACCATGGAGAACAGTCTGTGCCTTCATGGAGTTGACATTCTACTTAAAGGGGACAGACAAAAAACAAAGGAATAAATAAAATGTATAAGATATTAAATGACAGTAAGTGCTTGAGAGATCACATATGGCCAAAGCCACTTTCATACAACAGCTGAGTCACCTATAGACCTGCCCTGTCTAGTGCTGACAAATTTCTGATTCCATCCCCAACCCAGATGCAGACTAGGTCTTAAGCTCAGCCATCCAGTAATCTCTAATTCACATGCCACCCCAAACCATCGCCATATACTAAGCTTGACACCAAGCACAGAGTGACCCTTCATCCATGACCTTTTGCCCAGGCCCCAAATTCTCCTAGGATCCAGGACTGGCCACCCCCCAGCACTTCATGTGGAAAACAAAGCCTCTTTAGTGCCACTCTATCCCTGATGCAAACATAGCTCTCCTCTACACAACTTTCCCTGCAGAAAACCCATTGGGTTTTCTAAGGATTTTTACTACTAGTGTCTGCAGCCACAAAAAAACAGATGGACTAAACAGATGGGAAAAGCCTCCAAGTGGCTAGGTTGTGGGAACTGGAAGGTCCCTCAGAGAGTATCCAATCCCACCCCCTCATTTTACAGTGGAGCTCAGAGAAGTTAACAAGTAAGCTGCTCAGTGCCACACAGCAAAGCAGCAACAGATCCAGAAACAGAATCCAGGCCCTATCTCACCCAGTGCTCCCCAGGATACAGTGGGGAGCATCATCCATCTGGTAAAACAGCACCCAGAGTTTCCTTTGGGAGCCCACTCTTCCCCATTGCTGTCCATAATTTGGATGAAGCCCAATCCAATCAGTACCAATGGTCACCCTGTGATTGGCTGGACAGAGACAAGGCAGGGCAGTGAGACCTTCCAAGACTAGCAGTCCCTCTTCCCTAGGGCACCAAAACTTGGGGACTGGGAGGCAGGAACTGCAGCTGCCATGGCCATCTCACACGAACTGCAGATGAAGCCAACCCAAGATGAAGAGATATGTGAGATAAAGAAAAATAGAATTGTAGGGACTGCAACTGAACCTTTCCCAAGCCATACCTAGAAGAATTCCTACCTGTGGCTTTTTTCATTCCATAAGGCAACAAATTTCCTATGATGCAGTATTCTGCCCTTATTCACAGGAACATGTTCTAGGACCCCAGCAGATGCCTGAAACCTCAGAGAGTAGCAAACCCTATATATACTATGTTTTTTTCATATTTATGAAAATACTTCCATAAATATATGCAAATACTTAGGTTTAATTTGTAAATTAGGCACAGTAGGAGATTAAAGAACAATAACTAATACTAAAATAGAACAATTATAACAATATACTGTAATAAAATTGCCAGCATTGCTAATCTTGTGCTTTGAGGCCATTATTAAGTAAAATAAGCATCATTTGAACAAACATTACAATATTGCAAAAGTTGATCTGGTAGCCAAGACAGCTACTAAGTGACTACGGGTGGATGGCGTGTGCAGGGTACATACACCAGATGAAAGGATGACTCACATTTCAAACAGGATGGAGCAGAATTCTGCAAGATTTCACCATATTCCTCAGGAGAGTGTGAAATTTTAAACTTACGAGGTATTTATTTCTGGAATTTTCTCTGTAATATTTTCAGACTTTGGTTGGGTACAGGTAACTGAAATTATAGAAAACAAAAGAGCAGATAAAGGGAACTGGTGTACCTAAATCCAGTTTGGGTTGGGTTTCTGTTAGTTGTAGCCAAAACCTTTCTGGTTCCCAAACTTCACCTGCATCAACCCATCCTGCTCTCTGATCTTCACTGTCTTTTTACTCTTAATCTCCTCCAGTCTTTCAGTTTCACAGAGCAGCATCCCTCTCCACACATTGCCACTGGTTTCTCTAATTCTTCCACATTGTAGTGGATAGAATAATGGCTTCCTCCAAAGGTATCTATGATCTAATCCCTGAAATCTGTGGATATGTTGTTACCTTACATGCCAAATAGGAATTAAAGCTGCAGATAAAATTTAAGATTGCTGATCACCAAACCTTAAAATAGAGAGATTATCCTGGATTATGCAATTTGGCTCAGGGAAAATACTAGTTCCTTAAAAGTGGAAGAAGGAAGTAGAATAGAGAATCAGACCAATGGCAATGTGAGGACTCAGCCCAAATTTTTTGGCTTTAAATATGGAGAAATAGCCCACATGACAAGGAAAGCAAGTGACATCTAGAAGCTAGAAAAGGCAAACAAATGGATTTTCCCTTCAGCCTCCAGAAGGAGAAGAGCCTCACCAAACTTTGATGTTGGCACAGTGAAGTTGAGCCTCACTTGATTTCTCACCTCCAGGACTTTTAGAGGATGAATTTGTGTTGTTGAAGCCCCTAGTTTACGGTAATTTGTTATATCAGCAATAGGAAACCAATATACACCAATATATCAAAAGACCTCCACATTGGCATTCAAGAGATTGGTTTACAGACACTTCATTTCTTCCTGCAGTCCTGGTTAAGCATTAACCATATGTCTAATTCTGAGCTGGTTGCTAGGAATGGCAATATAAACTTCATAGTCAACTGGGGGGCAAGAATATGACTTGTAGACAACCCTGATAGAGTCAGAAAGTACCATAATAAAGAAGTAGAAGCATGCAGGATGCTAACAGAGTCAAGAGTAGAAATGCTTAAACCTGCTGGGGACAGAGAGGACATAGTCAAGGAGCATTTCCCAGAGAAAGCAAAAGCTGAGCTCACTCTCCAGTTAGGTGAGATTTAAAATCAAAAGCAGGGGCAAGAGGTGTAGTTCGGTGGCAGAGTGCTTACCTAGCATGTGCAAGGCCCTGAATTCCATCCCAAGAACCACCAAAAAAGAAGGGAGTATGGGGAGGGAAGGTATTCTGAGCAGAGGGAACTGTATGAATAATTCCGAGATGTGAGGGAACTTGTATGTGCAAAGGGCAGGAGAGAGATACAGAGGCAGAGGTGGCAAGAGTGCCAGGCCATGACCCTTGGAGTCAGCAAAACGAGTATGGACTTCATCCAAAAGGCCTGAGTAGCAAATGGGAACTTTAAGCAGGAGAGAGAGAGAGATGGAAGGGCTGTGTGACTACAGTCAAGGCTATGAAGCAGTGCAGGCAGAAGAGCAGCCATGTGAACTAGGGCCCAACAGTGTGGAAGGAACCAGGTGGAGAGCTAATGGGGAAGCAGAGCAGCCATAGCAGGGCCTGCCCGTGGCGTCTCCAGAAAGGAACACATTTGGAGGAGAGTCTAAGCTAGTAGGCAGATGTTGGAGCCTCTCTTTGAGACAGGGCACTGTGAAGATGAGGAGGTCCAAGGGAAAGATGAAAATAGGTCACCTATGGAACCTAGAAGCTGTTCCAGGGGACATCCATGTGGCAGCAGCAAAACAAAGATCTTTGAGACAGAGGTAGGGATTTCAGGGTTGTGGATGATCTGATGGGTAGGTCTAAGGGACAAAAGAAGAGGTCTGGGAAATCAGGCCACTTCACAAATCTTTCTATAATATGGAGAGATTTCATATAATATGGGAAAATTACATTGTCTACAATAAGGAGTAGGAAGATGCCCCAGGACTACAAATAGAACTGGGAGGATTCATAGACACAGGCAAGACAGGGGCTGAGGATCCAATGGATACCACAGCTACTGGACCAGCGTCGATGGAAGCCAAGGAGAACCCATGGTTAAGGTAGCCCTTGCAGGGGCACGGAACCAGCATGGGGTTGATCCAGTGCCCACCCTACACCCAAGGATGACCTCAGCCATCCCTGCTGCCACAGAGTGGCTCATACCATGCTGACAGCTTTAGGTCCTGCAGAATCCCCAGTCTCAACCCTCTTAGCATAAAAGGAGACCAAGGAATTTCCTGTTTCAGGCAGAGCCACCTCCACCCCCTATATATACAAAACTCACACAGTTGTTTTCTTCCCTCATCTGCCAAGCTCACCAACCTAGGGAGCATTTAATAACCAGCTGCCAAGTCCCCTGGGGATAGGCTAATGAAGCTGCCTCCCTGCCTCCCACCTCCTCTGAGGCCATGGGCTCTGTGTCCTGCCCTTCCCCACCTGCTCCCCCTTCTCCTAAACTCCCACCCTCCCCCACTGAAACAATCGGGACTGGGGAGCCCTCATCTAAGCTCGCAACTGCCAGGCTTTAGATAAGAAAGGCAGTACCAAGCTCCGGGAGAGGGTGTGAGAGGAGAGAACTGTCTGGGCTAGAAGACTCAGGACCAGAAGGTGAAGATCTGCCTGTGTCTCCTAACTGAGTGTTACCAGAACAATTGCTGAGTGGCTGCAGGACACAGATAGCAACCCCCTCTTGTCACGTTTCTGGGGAGCATCAGACCTGTCACTATGTCTCTGGCCCCCAAATCAAAGGGGTCCCAATTGAAAGAATAGGTGCATGGACATCAAACAGGCTTAAGGGAATCTTGGCTTCATTGCCTCACAATGTGTGATGCTGGTGGAAGTTTCCTGGTTTCCTAAAACCTTGGCTCCCTCCTCTATAAAATGGGGATGATGCCTCTTCATACAGAGAGGATAAAAAGAGATCAGGTATATAAAGCACCTGACACAGGGCCTCATGCACAGAATGTTCAAAATAATTACACACCACAATGATTTAAATTGCACTCCCTGGCAAGGTGAGGTGTTCAATCAGGATGTCACGGTTGCCCGGGAAACACAGGTCTCTCTGTACAAAGGGTCAGTGGATGCTATGGGGACTAGGTTTACCTCTCTGGCTTCCCCTAGCTGCTTTTGTCCCTCCAGAAGTTGGTACTAATTCATAAAATCCTTTTCTTCCTGCTTTAGTTGTGCTCGTCCCTGAAAGGCCTCATCAGAAGGAGTACATAGTTTGGGCCTCTGAATTATGGAAGCTCAGGTGCTTCTATTGCACCTCCTTACTTCAAACTGCAATCAGGACAGTGTAGGGAGGAGACAGGAATGCTCCCCACCTTATCCTAGGAGCTTACTGTGACTGTACCTGTAGAACAGCTAAGTTTTCCCACTGTCAAAGCGGTCGCACTGCTATGCAAACTGGTTCCTCGGGCTGGATGCCTTTCTGAACTTCCTCCTTGAAGGCTTTCCTGTCCTACCTCAGCTCAGGTAACCTGTGGTTCCTTTAGCCTATCATCAAAGGAGACTATTGGACAGATCTGTCTCCCACAGACCAGGCTATGGGCTCTTCTGCTCTTTTTAAAGGAACATCCACTGAGTTTGCCAGCCAGTCATCTTCTCTTCACCTTGTTTATCTCTGCATCCTGATCCACTCTTCCAAGAGCCTTTATAGCACACTGTAGCATCTACACACATTCTGACCCCAAGATGAACCCGAAAATACTCCTTCCTTCATCACAGCCTCTTGCCTTCAACCTCCCTGTCCCCACCCATGTCTTGGTCCTCACTGACAGACTGAACTCTGAGATCCCCTGGACCTGCTGGTATGCAAAGAAGAAAGCTTGTAGAGGGCAGGCTTCAGTTAGAGGAGGACTTTACTTAGGGTGCAGGATCCCATTACTGCTTTGGGGGATTACCTTTCCTCCACTCTCAGCCCCTGAAGTTTTGACAGCAGGAGCTCCAGTGATGGTGATGTGACCCAGGTCTGACCCATACGAGAACCCACGGTGATTGGTTCATTCATGGTCATCTTACTGTAATGTGGCCAGTGAGAGGCTATTCCCCCAGCCACAGTGATTGGCTCAAGCATAGTCATATGGCCCACATCTGACCAGTGAAAACTCTACCTAGGACTTTACCTCAAACAAGTGGGGAAAGAGACTCCCTTCTTGTCCTTTCTAGTGGCTGAACTGGCCAAATGATCTGCAGCTCTTGGTGGCCATGTTGCCACCTTATGTGGGAAACCTCCATGGGAGGGAAGCTTACATAGGAAAATAGAGGCGAGGAATGGTGAGAGTTACCTGTCTGTACCTTTGAGTACTACACAATCTTTCCCCTCATTCAGAGGCCAAGACCTCCTCATATTCCATAGCTACTAAACTTAGGAATCCCAAGCTGAAGTATGAATGAACCTCGGGAGCAACACCCCTCACATTTTGAGATGATCATTGCCTTCCAGACTTCCATTCAGACAAAACAGAACAGGTGTGGGTCATAGCTTTGCATTTCTGCACATCTGACCTTGGGCAGGTCACATCTTCTATGTCAGATTCACTTATATCCTCTTGGAAATAGGGTTACTACCTGTAGGCAAGGTGGAAGATCCCACACTGTTTCTTTTTGTGGGAATGCACTACTCCTACTCCTGCATCTTGCAAACTCCTATTTGGCCTCTAAAACCCTACCTGATGTCACCTCTAAGAGTTTTATTTTCTCCACTGTCCCCCCACAGAGATAATACAAATTTTCCACTTATGATGGGGTTACACCCAAAGAAACCCATTGTAAGTTAAAAATATCATAGGTCAAAGCAGCACTTAATGAACCTAACCTACTAAATATAGCTTAGCAACACAGCTCACTATAGAGTATGCCTTGTTTCCCCACATAATGACACGGCTGAGTAGAACTGTGGCTCACTGCTGCTGCCCAGAATCATGAGAGAGTTTTATACCACATATCACTAGCCTGGAAAGAGATGAAAATTCAAAAGTCAAAGTATGGTTTCTACTGAATGGGTACTGTATTGCCTTTGAAC